GTCATTTTTGCTACAAATTTGACAAAATTCAAAAAAACATAAAGGCAATTGCCTTGTGAACTCAACTTTGGTGGATCAGCTGCTTCAAAACACTTGTGTATAAAGTTTTATATGTAAAGTTTGATTTTTTACTATGAAATGCACATCATTTTTAATTTTTAAGGCATGGCAGTTTTGGATTCACAAAATCTATATGTGTAACATTGAGTTGTCCCCCCATTTATTTACTTACCCCTAGTATTAATTCCTTTTTTTAGGTCGGGTGACAGACATATGATCAGAAAGATTTGTTACGTGACAATATTTTATTTATTATTAATTTAATAGCAATTATTATTAATTATTAATATTAATTCCTTTTTTTTTAGTTCAGGTGACATATGATCAGAAAGATTCGTTGTGCAACAATATTTTATTTATTATTATTTTAGAAAATAGATAGAATGTAATAACATGATGTGCAATGGAATATCAAAGGCTAACTAACATCAGCTAATGAATCCCTGGGAGAAATTTATGAGGACACAAGAAAATTGCAACCAATTTTCAATGAATTTAATTACAATTTGTTGAACATACATAAAACTTATAATACTTCATGAACTATTAAATAAAAATTTATTAAATAAAAATTTTTAAAATATATATATATATAAATAAAATAAATTACAAAATGTTCAATAAAAAATGAGGAAGAGGAAGAGGAGGAAATATTATTAATATTAATATTAATGTTGTTGTTGTTGTTGTTCTTCTTCTTCTTGTTCATGTTCTTGTTGTTGTTGTTGTTGTTGTTGTTGTTGGCTTTGATGTTGTTGATAATATGGGCTTATGTGTTCAACATAATGTGGATCATGGTATGAGGGAGGGACAAATCCCAGCACCATTGCAAATTTCGGAAGCCCCCTAGGATTTTGACATGGTGGTCTGTGCCCCTCCCCCCAACACTAAAAACATTGATTCTGCAAATACTCAGTCACTGAATTTGGACAATCTAAAATGGTTTAAATATTAATATATATATATATATATAAAATCTATTAATATTATTAATTTTTATATATAGTTAATAATTATTGAATTTTTACTTAATGGTTCATGTCCATAATATTGGCATGCTAAACAACTGTATTGATGTGAAGGGGTTGGCCATGGTGTGTTTGTTGATGACATTCGAACCCCAGTTGCTGTATATGGCATTGATGATAATGATGATGATGTTGTTGTTGCTGGTGCTGTTGTTGTTGGAATTATTCATGATGGTGTTTCTGGAATTGAGGGGAATGTTGGTGGTGATGATAACATTTGTTCTGGTGGTGGTGATGTCATTGTTGATGGTATTGGCATTGGTGGTGGTGATATTATTGTTGATGTTAGTGAAGGGGATGATACGCTTCTTGTTGGTCTACGTCTGTATGGGTTATACCTGTTAAAAGAGGTGGTGGAGGTAGATGATGATGATGGTACAGCTCTATGTATTACTTCAACCATTCCTAGTCCAATATTTGTCATTGTTTGAAACAATGTCATAATTGCTTCGAAATTAATTTCCTTATTATTGTTGTTGTTGTTGTTGTTGTTGTTATCATTATTATTATTATCATTTAATTAATTAATTAATTAATCATTTACATATTTTTATTGTTGTAGTTGTTGTAGTTGTTTTAAAAAATTGTTCAAATGAAATTAAATTTATTTTTGTGAATTTTTAAAATTGATTGAGGGAAAATGACTTATTTTTATGTGAAAAAACATTCATTTATCTATTCTGGTAATCAAAACATTTATTGTCATTCAGTTTATCCATTCTGGTAATCATAAAACAAACATTCGTTAAATAATAATGAAACATTTGTCCATATGCAAACCCCGTCTTAAACATTTAAGTGAAACAATAGGAATATTTGTCTTATCAAGTTGATTTTTATTAATAAATGAATAGGGAAACTAGAAAAACTTCATTATAACAAAAATTCATTTTATCGAATCATGTCTTATCGAGTTCTGACTGTATATACTCTAAAGCAATCCTAGAAAGTAATGGTAATATTTGTTGTTTATCATTCCAATATTTATTTAAATCTAAAT